TGTGTGTGTGTGTGTGTGTGTGTGCGGTGGGGGGGCTTTGTGGTACCAGGGGCAGGAAGAAGACATAGTCTGAAACATCTTGGAGAGGCCTCTCTGGCCCATGGGGACTGGAAGGCCATAGGAGCAGGGAGGTCAGAGAGGAGGTGCATATCAGTGGGTCACATACAGACGGTGGCGACCTGCACTGCACTCGTGGCGGGGAGAGTGAAGTGGATGGATTCAACATGCATTTTACAGAGAGAACCTGCAAGGTTTATTTAAGGGCTGGAAGGAGGGAGAGAAAGAATTAAGGGCAGTGCTTCGGTCTTTGGCGTGAGCAGCTAGTTACATGATGGCGCCATGGACCAGTATGAGGATTCGGGCTGAAATGAAGAAACTCAAAAGAGTTGGGCTTTAGACACTTTCGGCTAGGATGCCTGTAAGATGCTCAGGCAGAGGTGTTCTGTGGGGGGCTACGCATGCCAATCCAGAGCTGGGAGGCTCCCAGGCTCCGTTTAAGCTCTGAGGGGGAGAAGTTTTCAGAGAGCAGAGAGGCAGGTGCGGCAGCTGGAGCCTGGTGTTCGCCAAGAGGCAAGAACTTCAAATAAACCCTGAGTGCCTTTCTTGAGCCAGACGGTGGTGCTCTAAAATTTGCATTTTATTCTCTGCAAAGTGAAATGAGAGAAAGGGTTCCTTTTTCCTTTTGAGTGATAGAGTTGCTTGTGGTATTTATTTCTGACTAAAAGGTAAAATATGTTCACTGTGAAAAAAAAACTGAAAAGGAAAAGTACAAAGAAAAATCTCACTGCCACTGAGATGATTCCAACTCCTACCGACCCCCACGGGGTTTCCAAGGCTGTCCGTCTTTACGGAAGCAGACTGCCTCATCACTCTTCCACAGAGCAGCTGGTGGGTCCGAACCACTGACCTTCTGGTTAGCAGCCAAATGCCTTAACCACTGCACCACCAGAGCTCCTTATAAAGAATAATAAGCATCCATAATTCCACCATGCATCCATCTGTAATTGCCATTAACACCATGGCCTCTCTCCTTCCTGGATTTTGTCTTACTTTTTACACAGATTAT